GATTACAGCAGCAGTGGATGGATACTAATAGAAACACACACACACACAGACACACACACCAGGCACGGACACACACGCACAGCAATCTTGGCAGTTTAGAGTTGATGCTGAGAGTGATTAAAGTGGCGTGCGTCCGAGTGTGTCACCTGGGTGCTGCTGTATCTTAAATCAGGACAGTGGGGCTCAGATTGGGTATTGACTGGCCTGCAGAAGTCTCCATCCATCACACTGAGAAACGATAGCACAGATGTAGCCGTATACCACTGATGTTGCTCACCAGCCGGCTGGTGTGAGCTAAGGTGAGGGTTGAGGCGTGACCTGTTATTTATGCCTCGGGGTAATCAGACACAGAAGCCTGTCGAATCTGCCGAAGCGGACTGACAGGCTTGCATCACGTCTCTGGGCGTCAGGACACAGAAAACAAATGGTCAGCTTGTGACCTGAAGGCAGAAGTGCCTGAGAAAACCACCGGTTGGCTGACACACACACGCTGAGGTTGGTAGCACTTATTCTTAAGCGGTAAGGATTCCCTCTCCCTGTCTGTGTCCTGCTGTCTCTCACTCTAGGGGGCACGTGCCCTCACACAGACGCATCACTCCGTCTTGAGGGCCTGAGAAGCATCTTTTGACTGTGTGCCTAATGATAATAAATGAGCCATCATAGGTGGGGAGGGAGCCACTATTTCATCCCCTTCATCGACAGGAGGCAGACTGGGAGCCCCAAGGTCACCCCACTGTCAGCATCATTCTCCCTAATGACTCCTCTTGCTCCTTCACATGCACACATGAATACACATGCACATACAGCCAGGACAGTTCTCCATCCTATGTCCACGACTACATACCACTGACGTTAGCACCACAGCATCCTACCACACACACTTCTACCTAAGTTTCCTTTTAAATCACATTATAGCGGCGATTCTCTGTCAGCAGAGCAGATCCAAGTGTAACAATCTTTTCAGTGTTTGCCAAGCAGTCAGGCGTATTTAGTCCAGTTCAACAGTGCAGTTTACCTTCACAAATCATCCAAGAAGATTCTATTTAATCCTTTCACCTCTCAGACTACATTAACCCCAGGATGAAGACACAGCTTTGTGTGTGTTGAAGAAACCCATCATTATAAATAATTGGCAGTTTCAAGGTTTCCTCAAAACTCTTGACAGAGAAAATGATGGACTGAATTTTTCCTGGTTATCACTTAGCACATGTGCATTCTGCACAGCGTGCACGGCGAAGTTAAAAATCCATCATTTGCAACTTAAAGTCCCAATTTGCAACAATAAAATTAGCAAACTGCAAGGGCTGCAATAAATTATGACAGTGATCCTACCTAATTAGAACACAAATTAGAACAGCTCTTATTGCAATTGCATCTTACGCTCTTTATTCCACATAATATGGAGACAAAGAAATACAGTAATGAAGCTCGGGGAAGAAAAAAAAAAAGAAGAATACCACTGAGCGCAAACAACAATATCTCTCTCCTAAATGGTAAATATTCAGTCCCAGAATGTAACAGCCAGTCTTTTTGCTGTATCAAAACAATATGAAGCCCGTTTGGACGACAGGCGTTGCATAACTGAAGCCAGTCTTTGTGAAGCCTCCTCCATTGCCTCCTAATTTCGTCCCTAATGAGCTGCCACATACTCTTGTCTCTCAGGAGGCATAGATCAGAATTTAAATCCAAAGAGGGCGGACCAAGAGAAATACTTCCTGCCAAGATAGACAAACAGAGGAGGTTCATCAACGCTGCACTAAATATGTAAGTTTATAGAAGAGAGGAGAGGAGGCTTCACAGGGATCAGTGGAGGAAGAAACAAAAAGGGAGCACCTTCACTTTCAACTGTGGGAATACTTTTCTCACTCACTCACACATGCATACGTACAGAGACGGGCGCGCGCACACACATGCACAAAAAATATATAGATTACATATACACATGTGGACACATGCACAAAAAATATATAGATTACACATACACATGTGCACTACGCACACACACACACACACACACACAAGTTGAGACTGGAGCTGCAGAAAGCTAATTTGCACCACATTGAAATGCATCTCAATTAAAGAGAAACACATCGAGGTGCCAGGGGAGGAGAGAAGAGAGAGATGTGAGAAGAAAGGGAGGGAGGAAAGGGGTGTGAAACAGTGTGTGAGAGTATGAGAGTAATGGTGGTGGTGGGGGAGAGCTGGGGGGAGTCAGGAATAGGGGCTTCACTGTGTTTGGCAAGG